AATCCACAAGGATGACCCCAGCTTTGACTACTAGCAAAAGTAGGCAGGGTGTCTGAACTGGACTATGCTGTTAATCAGTTTGGTGAATACCCTAAATGTCATCATAGAGCCTTTCTGCAGCAACTGATGGCAGCAGATGCAGAGATCCACAGCCAAGCACCAGGCCAAGCTCTGGGAGTCCAGTCAGAGAGAGGAAAGAGGGATTCTATGAGCAAGGGACATCAAGATCATGATAGGGAAATCTACAGAGACAATTAAACCAAACTAGTGGGAACTCATGAACTTTAGACCAACAGTTGTGGAGCCTTCATGGGACTGAACTAGGTCCTCTGAATAAGCAAGACAGTTGTGTAGCTGCATTTGCTTAAGGGGTCCCCTGGCAGCAGGGTCAGGATGCATCTCAGGTACATGAGCTGGCTTTTTGGAGCCTGATACCTATGATGAGACATCTTACACAACCTTCATGCAGGGGGATGGGCTTAGTCCTGCCTCAACTGAATGTACCAGGCTCTAATGACTCCCACAGAAGGTCCCAACTTGTCGGAGGAGAGAATGGAAGGTGGGTTGGGAGGGAAGTCTGGTAGGGTTTAGAAGAGAAAAGAGAGGGGGATCTGTGGTTGGTGTGGAAAATGAATAACAATTTTCTTAATTTAAAAAAAGAAATGTACTCTATATCTCTTGCTCATATAATCCCTCCTCTCTCTCACTGGTTAGACTCCTGGAGCTCCACCTGGGGGCCTGGCCATGGATCTCTGCATCTGCTTCCACCAGGTATTGGATGAGTTCCATCATGACAGTTAGGGTGTTTGGCCATCTGATCACCAGAGTAGGTCAGTTCAGGCAATCTCTCAACCACTGCCAGTAGTCTGTAGTGGAGGTATCCTTGTGGATTTCTGGGGACCTCTCTAGCACTCTGCTTCTTCCTATTCCCATGGGGTCTTCATTTATCATGGTCTCTCTTTCCTTGTTCTCCTACTCTGTTCCTGATCCAGCTGGGAACTCCCACTCCCCTAAGCTCTCTTTCCCGCAACCCTTGCCCTCCATTACTCCCCTTAGCCCCAGTTTGCTCATGTCGATCTCATCCATTTCTCTGTTGCTGGGCGATCCCTGTGTCTTTCTTAGGGTCCTCTTTACTAGGTAGCCTCCCTGGAGTTGTGAGTTGCA